AATGTGACTAAAACTAAAACTTTGGTGGTTCAAACATTCATTTTCTCATTAATGCTGAGTGTGTGTTTATCTAAGCAGTAAAAACACTTCTCCATAATACGGCTATTGTTTCAGCTCAACATCTGGATGAGTGGGTGTTTGGATGAAAAAACTGCTTGGGTTAAGCAAACACAAATTCATCTTTGTTTCAATCCCTGCTCTTGGCACACATTTGCAGCATCCTTTCAGTGACTCTGTACCTTCCAGGACTTTCTGATGGCACGTCAGTGAAAGCGTCTTCTGGCTTCGGGTCCGGAATGGGAATGATGTACTCGTTGTATGACGGTATGACTTCCTGTGCCTCTTGTCTGAAGTCTTGTCTAGGCCTTGAGTTTTGGTTGTAGGCATCCAGTGGAGACTGGAGTGTGACAGGAGATGGGGTGCCAAATGCTGGGTTGGCGATTGGAAAGGGTGAGGTCAGCCGAGGTTTGGTGCGGGCGACTGCCGGGTGGTCACTCTTCGTGAAGTTTTCATTGGCTTGGTTGTATCTCTGTTGTCAGGAGAGAGAGTTTGATTACCTTAACAGCGTAGGAGCAGTCTGATGAGCTTGTAAGAAGAATGATGATGAGCATTTTAGTGAAATTACTTGTGTTTCTTATTGACTGTGACAAACCTAAACTCAGGAAGGGGTAATTTCTTCAACCTCTGATGATGATTTAATATATTCAAAAGAGAGCTACATCAATACTCTCCAAGTCACTAGTTGCACTCCATATAACAGGAAGAGCTGTCATATGGAGTGCAACTACTGCTCTATGATGCTGCTGCTTTTGGCACCTTGCTTCACACTTCAAGGTAGGTAGTGTGGCATTGGTGACATTAGCTCATTAGAAAAATAAAAGCATGGAAAATGTCATTCATTTACTTATTATTACTTACTTGAAGAAATAAAATATTACTAAATAAATTATTCAGTATTTCTATTCTGTTTTCTGTTTGTCAAAAATATCAAAATTGTTAGAAAGATTTTTAAATATAGTGATTTCATTTTGAGGTTATATTGCCAACACTTTCTGAAAACACTTGCAACATATGTAATATGTGTTACTATAATATGTATTAATGGTAAATGACTGTAAAAGACTGTAAAAATATTTTTAAATCACTGTATTGGTGGGAGGTAATACAAATACTGAATAAAAGAAAGGGTTGGGGTTTAGTGTGAAACTGCTTTATTTTAAAGAATAAAAAACAAGTAACTATTATTGCTAATGTCATAAGGTGACTGAAAAAGAGCTTAAAAAACACCAGATTTCCATCTGAGTTTGGCTGAAGCAGAAGCATAAAAATAGAACCATAAAACTGAAGTACAATTTTAAGGTTAAAGTGAAATTACTGTGAAATTGCACCAATGTAAAGTACTTGAATGCTTGCCAATATCTCATCCAGCTACTAGGAAGTGTTATTATGTACCTTTTTATAGCTGTCCGTCAGCATATTCCCCACGCTGTGGACCAGAAATGAGAACTCGGGCCTTTTCTCATACTTTTCATCCCAGCATTTCTTCATAATCTCATAACTGCAACACGAGCAACATGAAATAAGGAAATAAGTGTGTTTCTTTTCAAAAGTTGTTGAAAAGGCAAGAAAATGTCAAGGTGACAGTGAGACTCACACTTCATCAGAGGCATGGGTGGGTTTGGCCATTCGGTAGCCTCTCTTCAAAGCACTGTAGAATAATTCATTCATGGGCAAATCAGGGTAGGGGGTCCCTCCTGCAGAGAACATTTGAGATCATTCAAAAGCT